AGATGGGAAGCTCCACCCAGTCTAGGATTATTGTTGTCTCAATAAGGGTACTGTCAAAAACAAGTACCCACTCCCCCTGATTCAGGAGCTCATTGATAAGACACATACATTCAGGGTTTTCACTAAGTTGGACGTTTGATGAGGATACAATAATATTCAGATCCAAGATGGAGATGAGTGGAAGGCTGTGTTCTGAACCAATTGTGGATTGTACAAACCAACTGTAATGTTCTTTAGACTAACCAACTTGCCTGCAACGTTCCAGTCATTCATGAATCACATCCTTACAGATCTGATTGACTTGGGGCATGTTAGTGTGTATCTGGACAACATTCTGATCTTCACCCAGACAGTCAAGCACTATTACTGACTGATCCAAGCAGTTCTACAATGGCTCTAAGATAATAAACTGTTCCTCTAAGAAGTAAAGTACTCTTTTACACAGGAGTCAGTGGATTATCTGGGCTTTGTGATTGGTGGAGGAGAGGTCTGTATGGATCCAGCAAAGGTGACTGTAGTTTGGAACTGGCTACAACCTTGGAACCTGAAACAGGTCTAAGCATTCCTTGGGTTTGCAAACTACTACTGACACTTCATTTGAGGCTTCAGTACCATTACCCAGCCCCTTCATGATCTCACTAGCAAGGAAGTTCCTTAGCAATGGGATGATCAGTAGCAGTCTGTGTTCAAGTCCCTCAAGTAGGCTATTACTAGTAAGCCTGTATTAGCAGTTCTGACAGTTGCAGACAAGTTCTGAGTCAAAGCCAACTCTTCTGACTTTGTGAATGGAGCAGTACTGTCCTAGTTCATTGACAGAAAGTAGTGTCCAATAGTGTTCCAATCAGAATCCCTCTCTGTAACAGAACAGAACTACCCTATCTATGACAAGGAACTCCTTGCAATTGTCTATTCCCTGGAAGAGTGGTGTCAATATCTCCTCAGTACTGTACAGAAGTTCAAGATTTGGAGTGATCACCTTAATCTCTAGTACTTCTGAGTGCCCCAGAAGCTCAACCACTACCAAGCCTGCTAGATGTTAGAACTTCAGGACTTTGACTTTGTGCTGACCTACAAACCCAGAACACAAATGACAAAAGCTGATTTACTCTTGAGACAAGCAGGTTATGAAAGGGGGGAGAATGATAACAAAAATCTTGTTCTCCTAGACAATTCCTGTTTCATGTCTGAGACAATCCAAGAGATCCAACTCGAATCCAAGGATGTTGACTTTGTCACCTGCATACAGTAAGCTCTAAGACACACACAGGACCAGGTTGTAGTGAAGCAGCTAGAGAAGCAGGCAAGGGATTGGGAGGAGGATGAGGATGGACAGGTTTACTGGGAAGGCTGACTGTACATTCTGAAGGATCAGAAGCTGTAGGAGGACATTGTCTGAGCTCATCACAACAATCTGACTGTAGGACATTTGGGCCAACACAAAACACAGGAACTCATTACTCAGAACTACTGGTGGCCCAGAATGCAGAGGGAAATCCTGAAGTATGTGACTGGTTGCAATATGTGCTAACAGACTAAGGCCTACCAGACAAGGGTTTGGGCTCCCCTACATTTGTATCAGATTCTGGATCACTCTTAGGAAGAAGTCTTGGTGGACCTGATTGGTAAGCTACCTGAGTCTTAGGGTTACAACACTATCTGCATGATTGTCAACTAATTCTCCAAGCAAGTCCACACAGTTCTGACCCAAACAGAACTCACTTCTGAAGGTATGACATGCATTTATCAGGATCATGTCTTCTGGTTGTACAGACTCCCTCAGAAGCTCATTCATGATTGCAGACTGTAATTCAAGTCAAAATTCATACAGAACTTGTATGTGCTTCTTAGAATTCAAGGGAACCCTTCCACTGTCTATTACCTGTAGACTGACAGTCAAACTGAGTGAGTCAATCAGGAGATCAAGCTCTACCTCTGGATGTTCATCAATCATTAGCAATCAGATTGGTCTGAATGGTTAGCTCTGGCAGAATTTGTACACAATAACTAGCAACACTCTGCAACAGGACAGTCCCTGTTCTTCCTCAATCATGGGAGACATCTGTACCAGGGGACAGTTCTGAACTGGAACAGCAGTTCTGAATCTGTAACAGACTTTGTGGAACAGATGCACAGAACTAGGGAGGACACACAAGCTCTTTTGGAAAAGGTAGTACAAGTCATGAAGTAGAACTATGATCAGAAGAGGTCTGCAGCCAAGGACTACCAGCCTGGTGACAAAGTTATACTGGAAGCCACTAACCTAACCACAGATTGCCTAATGAAGAAGTTGGACAACAAGCACTTCAGACCCTTTGTTATTAAAAAGAAGGTCAGTACCTCTGTCTACAAACTCCAACTTCTGGCAACATGGAAGTGTATACACCCAGTGTTTAACAAGGTTCTACTGTCTTGATACTACAATCTGGGTTTTCCTTTACAACAAAGACCCCTACTGCCTCCACCAGAACTCATTAGTTCTGAACCAGAATACAAAGTAGAGTACATAGCAGATGCTAAGCTGGTGCATGGAAAACTCAAGTTCCTTATCCACTGGAAGGGATACCCAGTTGAAGAACACACTTGGGAACCTACTGAGAATCTCACCCATGCTGCTAAGGCAATCTGAGACTTCTATCAACTTCATCTGGGTGCTCTGTATTAACTCTGCCTTACAGATTTCCAAACCCTACTGTTCTGACCTATGCCTGAGCTACTGACTGAGCCCAATGCTCACCAATCAGGATGATTGGTTTTAGAGGGGGGGTGATGTTACAGTTCTCTACTCTTGTACCTTCAGTTCCAAGGGTTCTGCACCCTTCTGTACTAGAACTCAGGACTTCTGTCCCTTGGGGGTGCTGTCTATGAACTATATGTGTGCTGACTCTTGCCACTACCCTTCCTTACTTCATCATTCTATTCCTTTGACCACCCCTTCATTCTTTGT